AAGCTTTCATTTAGAATGGAAGGACAGATAAAGTGCTTCTCAGATAAGATCAAATTCAAGGAGTTCATCATCACCAAGCCCTTATTATATGAAATGTTAAAGGGACTTACCTAAGAAAAAGAAGTTAAAAAAAACATGAACAGTGAAAGGACAGCAAACTCACAGTTATTAACAACCACACCTAAAACAAAAGCAAACTAAAAGGACATCTAGATCAGGAGTGGAAACATAGAAATGAAGATCTCAAGGAGGGTTAGCAACAGGAGAGTGGGAGGAGGAGAAGGGGGGAGAAGGTACAGGGAATAAGTCGCATAGACAGTAGATAGAAAATAGATGGAGGGGCAAGAATAGTATGGGAAATATAGAATCTAAAGAACTTGAGACACATGGTCATAAACTAAAGGGGGGTAATGTTGGGGACAGGGGGTAGGGTGGAGGGGAATGAAGGGGGGGAATAGAACAACTGTAACAGCATAATCAATAAAAAAAATTAAAAAAAAAAAATAAAAATATTTTCCATAAGATCAAGAACAAGTCAAGGCTGTCCACTTTCACTACTTCTATTCAATATAGTATTGGAAGTTTTAGCCACAGCAATCAGACAAGAATAGGAAATAAAAAGCATCCAATTTAGAAAGGAAGAAACAAAACTGTCATTGTTTGCAGATAACATGACAGTGTCATAGAAAATCTTATAGATTGCACCCAAAAACTGGTCTACCTAATAAGTGAATTCACCAAAACAGTGGGATACAAACTCATATCCAGAAATCTAAGGCATTTTTGTATACCAACAATGAAATAGCAGAAGCAGAAATCAAGAAAAAAATCCCATTTGATCTAGCAACAAGAAAAATAAAATACCTAAGAAGAAATCTAACCAAGGAGGTAAAATACATTTATGCAGAAAAACTATACAACACTAAAAAAAGAAATCAAGGAAGGCACAAACAAACGGAAACATATACCCTGTTCATGGAAGAATTAACATCATCAAAATGTCCATACTATCCAAAGCAATTTATAGATTAAATGCAATGCCACTTAAAAGTCCAGTGACATATTTCACAGATATCGAACAAATATGTCAGATATTTATACAGAACCATAAATGACCCCAAAGAGCTGCAGCAATTTGACAAAAAAGAACAAAGCAGCCCTGGCTGGTGTAGCTCAGTGGATTGAGCACGAGCCTGCAAACCAGACAATCACGGTTTGATTCCCAGTCAGGGCACACGCCTGGGTTGCAGGCCAGTTCCCTGCAGGCCTGTTCCGAGCAGGGGATGCATGAAAGGCAACCATACATTGATGTTTCTCTCCCTCTCTCCTTCTCTTCCTCTCTAAAGATAAATAAACTTAAAAAAATCTTTAAAAAAAAAGAACAAAGCAGGAGGGATCAAAATATGTGATATCAAACTGTATAAAAAGGCCAGTGTAATTAAAGAAGCCTTGTACCGGCATTAAAACAGGCACATAGACCAATGGAACAGAACAGAGAGCCCAGACATAAACCCTAGTCTCTATGGTCAATTAATATTTGACAAAGTGGGTAGCAGCATAAAATGGGGTAAAAATATCCTCTTCAACAAATGGTGTTGGGAAATCTGGACAGCTTACATGCAAAAGAATGAAATTTGACCACCAAATTACACAGTACACAAAAATAAATTCAAGGTGGATAAAAGACTTAAATATATGTCGTGACACCATTAAAGTCCTAGAAGAAAACATTGGCAGGAAAATCTCAGAATTTCCACACAGCAATATATCCATGGATATGTCCCCTAAAGCAAGGGGCATAAAGGAAAGAATGAAGAAATGGGACTATTTAAAATTAAAGAGCTTCTGCATGGCTAAAGAAAACAGCATTAAAATGAAAAGAGAACCAACTGTATGGGAAAACATATTTGCCAATGATACCTAAGACAAGGGTTTGATTGCCAAAACATATAAAGAACTCACATGACTCCACTCCAGGAAGACAAAAATTCCAATTAAAAAATGGGCAAAAGACTTGAATAGGCACTTCTCCAAGGAGGACATACAGAGGGCCCAGAGACATATGAAAAGATGCCTAGCATCATTAGCCATCACAGAGATGCAAATTAAAACCACAATGAGATCCCACTTCACATTAGTAAGAATGGCCATCAAAAACAAGAAACAAACCCTACTGAGGTTGTGGAGAAAAGGGAACTCTAGTGCACTGTTGGTGGGTATGTAGACTGGTGTAGCCACTGTGGAAAACAGTATGGAATTTCCTCAGAAAACTACGAATGAACCTGCCTTTTGATCCAGCAATTCCACTGCTGGGATTATACCCTAAGAACCCTAAAACACCAATCCAAATGAACCTAGCACCCCAATGTTCATAGCAGCACAATTTACAATAGCGAAGTGCTGGAAGCAACCTAAGTGACCATCTGTAAATTAGTGGATCAAAAAACTATGGTGCATTTACACAATGGAATACTACGCAGCAGAGAGAAATAAGGATCTCCTACCCTTTGCAACAGTATGGATGGATCTGGTGAACATTATGGTAAATGAAATAAGCCAGGTAGTGAAAGACAAATACCATATGATCTCACCTTTAGGTGGAACCTAATCAACAAAACAAGCAAGCAAGCAAAATATAATCAGAGATATTGAAATGAAGAACCATCTTACGGTAACCAGATGGAAAGTGGGAGGAGATAATGGGTAGAATGGTTTTCAGGAACAACTACAAGGGACACATGGAACAAGTATAAGGGACACATGGACAAAATCCAGGGGGTAGGCATCAAAGCAAGGGAGGGAGGTGGTTTTGGTTATGGTCAGGGGTAAATGCAGACAACTGTAACTGAACAACAATAAAATATTTTTTAAAAAAGAAAGTACAAAACCCCCCGAGATTTAGAGAAATGAAGAGCATTGTCTAAGTTCCTCTACTCAAAGGGAAATATCTGGTCCATATATGTGATTTTTTCTAACAAGATGTAAAACAGATAAACATATGAATAAATACATACATAAACAAAAAATACGTGACAAATAAAGCAAGAACATATAAGGGGTAGAGACATTTATTTCAATAAACAGTATCCGGAAAACTGTACAGATACATGCAAAAAATAAAACTAGACCACTTTCTTTCACATACAAGAATAAACTCAAAATGGATTAAAGACTTAAAAAGTAAGTCTCAAAACCATAAAAATCTCAGGAAAAACATAGGCAGTAAAATCTAGGACCTTTCCTTTGGCAATATTTTTTTCTGATGTATTTCGTTGGTCTAGGGAAACAAAAGAAGAAATGAACAAATGGGACTACATTAAAATAAAAATGTTTTGCATAGCAAAGGAAACCATCAACAAATAAAAAGACAACCTATTGAATGGGAAAACATATCTGACAATGATACATCTGATAAGGGATTAATATCTAGAATTTACAATGAACTCAGACAAGTGTACAGCAAAACAAACAAAGAAACAAACAATCCAATTAAAAAATGGACAGCGATCCTGAAGACACTTCTCCAAAGAGGACATACAGATGCTCAACAGACATATGAGAATATGCTCAACATCACTAATTACCAGAGAAATGCAAATTAAAACTACAATGACATCAACACACACCTGTCAGAATAGCTACCATCAACAAGCAATAAATGTTGGTGAGGATATGGAGAAAAGGGAACCCTGATGTACTTTTGGTGGGAATGCAGTGTATTCAGTATGGAAAACAGTATGGAGATAACCTGAAAAAAAATAAAAATGGAACTGCTTATGACCCCAAGATCCACTTATGGGAACATATCCAAAGAAAACCAGAGCAGGAATTTGAAATGACAGAAGCACCCCTATGTTCAATGGAGCATTTTTTGCAATAGTTAAGATATGGAAACAACCCCAGATGATGGGATTAAGAAAAATTGGTACATATATACTGTGGAATATTACTTGGTCATAAAAAATAACAAAATCATAATACTTGCAACAACATGGATGGACCAGAATATTTATGTTAAGTGAAATATGTCAGTCATACAAAGCCAAATATCACATAATTTCACTTATATCTGGAATCTATACAAAAAGTATAAATGAACAAGCAAAACAGAAACAGACCCATACATACAGAGAATACACTGATGTTTGCCAGAGGACAACCTGGTTGGGGTACTGGGTGGAAACGGTAAAGGTATAGAAAAGTATAGATTGGGAGTTATAAAATAGTCATGAGCATATGAAGTACAGTATAGGAAATAAGTCAGTAATATTGTATTAACTGCGTATGGTGCCAGGTATGTACTGATAATACCGAGGGTGGCAAGAACACTTTGTAAAGTATACAATTGTCTAACCACTATGCTGTACACTTGAAATAAAAAATAATATTTAATATAAAGTGTAATTGAAAAAAGGAGCTTCCTCTGATTTTATTTCATTCACACAATGTCTTCGTCACTGACAAAGACAAGAATTTGGGCACAGCTTAGCTAAAGGGAGAAATGTTAGCTGACCAACAAACAGACCAAAGTGAATCTGTAACCTTCAAATTCTCAAGCTGATTTAATCACCCATTACATAATTCAATTCATTTCTAAAAAGTTTACATATATCCCAAGTAATTAGGAATCTGATAAAAAGCACACTATATACTTATGATGTATTCATAAAATACTTACAACATATCTAATGCTATTCTGAGCTAAAATCAGTATCAACAAATGATCAATTGTTATTTAGCATACAGGAATAAAAAAGAGATACTTAAGCAATAATTAAATATAATGACAATGTGAGTATATTCTCTTAATTGTATATGTAACTTTACATTTTTCCCCTAAGTATTTCCTAATGTCTTTTAGCAATTAGTCCCTTCAAATAAAACTTAAAATAGCCCTATTTTTTTACTGGAAACATCATATACTTTATTGGATAATCTTTAAATAATCAGATTTGGTGAATATTAAATTTGCCTATTTAAATCTCATTACAAAAAAATACCTGTTCTTTTGTTCTTGCTGCAATAACTGAGCGGCTACTTTCTTCAAATCAGTTACTTCCTTCAAATCATCATCCTCTTCCTCAGCAAGTAACTGTTCTTTTCCAAGTCTGAGTGGTGATACAAACATGGTTATTCAAAAAGTAAGGCAGAAGATTTTTTCATTTATTTTATTTTTAGTTGCCATTTATTGAATTTATTGGGGTAACACTGGTTAATAACATTATATAAGTCTCAGGTGTAAAATTCTATTATACACCCTCCGTGTACTGCATTCTGTGTTCATCACCCCAAGTCAAGTCTCTATTTTATGCCACCTTCCAGAATTAGCAGCCATTTTTTGTCTTTACCAAGTGAAAGCTAAAATCTTAATTTCCTTGTATTTAAAACAGTAAAATAAGAAATAAGGAATATTTAAAGAATACAAAAACAGAGTTCGGGCTAAGATGGCCCAGAAACCTATCGGTTCCTTGCACAACTAAAAGGAGGATAACAACCAATCTAAAACCAATAAACGACCAGAAGCACCAGAAAATCAAACTGCATGGAACTCTGACAACCACTAAATTAAAGAAAAAAATCAACCAGAACAACCAGACCGGTAGGGGCTAGCAGACCCAGTGGGGCTGGCGACTCATAAAATAACTGAGAAAAACGTTGACAAGGTGGCTGAGGGGGTGGGCCAACTGCAGCTCAGGCTTGGCGGAGCTGCATGGGACAGACTGACTTAGGGGAAAACTGAGACTCCAGGCTGACTGTGGGCTATGGCTGGGGTTGCCACATTGGGAGATACTTCCAGTCTGACTCAAGAGTCTGTTGGAAAGTGCACTACAGACGAGCAGGTGAGCTGCACTGCTCCCTCTCTGGCCCATCCCCCACAGGCAGTGCAGCAAGGAGTATTGCCCTGCTTGGGTGAATATCTAAGGCCCCACCCCTTACAACTTATCAGGTGTGCCAAGACAAAGAAATATGGCCCAAATGAGAGAACACGGCAAAAACTCAGAACTAAGCGATGAGAACATTGCCAACCTAACTGATGGAGAATTTAAAGCCCTGGTAATCAAAATGCTCACAGAACTGATTAAGCTTGGTTGAAAAATGAAAGAACAAATGAAAGATATCCAAAATGAAGTAAAACAAAATATTCAGGGAACCAACAGTGACAAGAAGGAAAACAAGATTCAAAGCAATGATATGGAACAAAAGGAAGAAATAAATATCCTAATGGATCATAATGAAGAAACAAGAATCCCAAACAAATCAGAGAGGCTGAAGACTTTCTGGGACAACCTAAAATGTTCCAGTATCTGAATTATAGTGGTGCCAGAAGGAGAAGACCAACAGCAAGAAATTGAAAACTTATTTGAACAAATTATGAAGGAAAACTTCCACAATCTGGCAAAGGAAATAGACTTCCAGGAAGTCCAGGAAGCCCTGTGAGTCGCAAAGAAGTTGGACCCAAAGAGGAACACATCAAGGCACACCATCAAGTTACCCAAGATTAAAGACAAAGAGAAAATCCTAAGAGCAGCAAGAGAAAAGGAGACAGTTACCTACAAAAGAGTTCTCATAAGGCTATCAGCTGATTTCTCAAAAGAAACCTTACAGGCAAGAAGGGGCTGGAAAGAAGTATTTGAAGTCATGAAAGGCAAGGACCTACATCCAAGATTACTCTATCCAGCAAAGCTATAATTTCGAATAGAAGGGCAGATAAAGTGCTTCCCAGATAAGGTCCAGTTAAAGGAGTTCATCATCACCAAGCCCTTATTACATGAATTGTTACAGGGACTTATCTAAGAAAAAGAAGATAAAAAATACAAACAGTAAAATGACAGTAAACTCACAACCATCAACAAATGAACCTAAAAAAAATGAAAGAAAGAAAAACAATGAAAACAAAAACTAAGCAATCAACTAGAATAGGAACAGAATCAAAGTGATGGACATCACACAGAGGGAGTTCAATGGGGAAGGACAAGGGAGGAATAGGGGGAAAAGGTACAGGGAAGAAGAAGCATAATTAGTAGGCATAAAACAGACAGGGAAAGATAAAAAATGGTATAGGAAACAGAGGACTCAAAGAACTTATATGTACAACCCGTGGACATGAACTAAGGGGGGTAGGGAATGCTGGAGGGTTGGGCAAACAGGGTGAAGGCGGGGTAAAGGAGGAAAAATAGGGAAAACTGTAATAGCATAATCAATAAAAATACTCACAAAAGTAAGTAAATATTAAGTTGTGAAACTTAAAAAAGAATATAAAAACATATCTATTCCCTCTACTAAACAGAAAATGTGATATAGTTATTATATTAATATAATTAAATGGCTAACAAAGTAAACTGCAGTATTACTTTTCATTTCTGAAATGAGTAATGCCCATAATAATTTAATAGTGTATACTACCCAGCTTTGAGTGTCATAAGAGCTGCAGAAGTCTATATGCCCAGTCTGAAAATTTTATTTTATTAAACCACCTTCTTTATATAAATTTATTTACAGCAACCTTTAAAATCTCTGTGCAAAATGTTTAAGTAGAAGAAATACAAAATAGGTTCAAATAAGATTGGCAAATTTTCCAAAAATACTCATTAAAATACATAATTTTTATCATTCAAAGAGAAATTTTTAAAAATAAATTGCCCTTCAAATTCTAGTAATTTTATTTCAAAGGTATTAATTTTTAAAAAAAGTATGAAATTCTAAGACTTTGTATCTTTACCATAATTCATATGCCACCAGTAACTCTCAAGTTTAGGCAACTGTCCTTGTGAGATAAGGTGAGAAAGTAAAAGAATTAAACAGAGTATAAGACAAAACAATGCACCTCCTTATGATGTCCCAGAAATGATTAATTAATGACTACTTAAAAATATACAAGTGAGGTCATTTAGAGGGAGCACAATGTAGAGAAAAGAGAAAATCGTAGGGATCAGAGGGCTCAGTTTATACCCTAGGTTCTACTGGACACTAGCTAAGTGGTTCTAGGCAAGAAACTTCCATCTCCAAGTTTCATCTTCCTCAGCTGTAAACATGGGAACAATATCTACTCAGCAGAATTTAGTGAAGATTATATAAGAACCATGGGAAAGCAAATGCTCCTCCTTTCATTCCTGCAGCTATGAAGGAACTTAAAGGAGTGACTAAAAAAAATTTAGTAGGTCATATTCCATCATTTCATAAGATAAATGATCCAGAGCACAATTATTTTAATAAAATATCAAATACTCCTAACATTACTATAACCACTCTGATGGAAAGTATATTTTCTAAATAAAAGATTTAGACTAAGAGTCAGAACAACTGAGTTGCAGACATTTCAAATGCTGGGTCTTGGTTTCCTTATTTGTCATATGATGCTAATACCATCTATTTTAAAGTCTTGATAAATAGCTCAGATGAAGCAATGTGTGTGAAAATATAGTTCTCCTCAGTAACAATCACGGGCAACATTATTATTACATTTCTGGGGGAAAACATGTATATACTACACTAAACCTAAATGCTTATGATAATTTTCAGTTTAATTGAGGAACACAAAGTATTTGCAAATTAATTATCTGAATACAATAGGCAAACCAACAAAAGTTATATTCTTTTAAGTAGGAATATCTTTAAAATATATCAAGTATTTATAAGTAGCATTTCAATTTGAGAATTTATGTATGTGCTTACCTTTTTTCATCTCCTAATTCTTCATTTTTCTGAGGTTTTTCAGTGCCTTTTTCTTTTCCCTTATATAAAAGAAAGTTACCATTTAAATTGTATGGTCCATTTTTGTTAGATCAAGGAAAACATGTTCTTAATATTTGTTCAAAGTTTTCTTTACCTTATGGAAAGAAACAAAGGATCCAACATGTGTATCTCCTTGTTCAGAAACTGCTACATCTTCTGTGTTGGGGTCAATAAAGTCATACACCTCCTGGTCTAAGTATAAAATAATATGTATTAAAAAATTTTGTCCTGACCAGTGTGGCTCAGTTGGTTGGGCATCGTTCCACAAAGCAAAAGGCTGTGGGTTCAATTCCCAGTCAGGACACATGCCTGGATTGCGGATTTGGTCCCCAGTTGGGGGCACATTGTAAAGGCAACCGATAGATGTTTTCTCTTTCTCCATCTCTTCCCTTGTCTCTAAAAATAAATAAATAAAATCTTAAAAAATATATGAATAGTGCCCTGCCAGTGTGGCTCGGTTGAGCATCATCTCATAAACCAAAAGGTTGCGGGTTCAATTCTTGGTCAGGGCCCATGCCTGTGCTGTGGGTTCAGTCCAGGTCAGCATGTGTGTGAGACGTAACTGATAGATGTTTCTCTCTAACATCAATGTTTCTCTCCTTCTCCTTCCCTTTCCCTCTGTCTAAAATCACTAATAAAAATTTCAAAAATATATGAATAGTATGCTCTGACACTGCAGTGCTCAAAAGAAAAGTGTATTTTCTCAATGAGTTAGCCAAAGATAGTATTTTTCAAAGCCCACCTTTAATAAAACTTTTACTAAAGGTTATATACATAAAATAAATATAGCAAAAATATATGGATCACCTTTCTGAGAATCAGGTTTGCTTCCAGTTGAGTGACTGTCGTTTCTTGATGTCTGTTCTCTATTTGATTCTGAGACTTGAGAGTGAAGGCTGATTGTGTCATCATCTGATGGCTGAAAGAAATAAGCCCAAGCACCAACAAGGCATTTTAAACATATGATTAAGAATTTAGTTGCTTGTAGTTCATATATAAAGTGTAGAATATTTGATTTACATCTCCAGTTTTCAAACCAAAAAGTAGTATGTTAAGGTTTACTGTTTTGCTTTTATTTTTTAATTATTATTTTAAAAAATCTTTTTAAAAAGATTTTTTTAATTTATCTTTAGAGAGGAAGGGAAGGAGAGAAGGAGAGAAATATCAATGTATGGTTGCCTCTCGTGAGTCCCCTGCTGGGAACTGGCCTGCAACCCAGGCATCTGCCCTGATTGGGAATCAAACCACGATCGTGTGGTTTGCAGGCCCACGCTCAATCCACTGAGCTACACCAGCCAGGGCTTACTGTTTCAATTTTAAAAATGTGCCTGTATGTTTACATTTAAAGTCATAAAATGTAATGATGTGCCTTGGCTGGATAGTTCAGTTGGTTAGAGTGCTGTACCAATATGCCAAGGTTGCAAGTTTGGTCCCCAGTCAGAATACATACAAGAATCAACCCATGAATGTATAAGTGGAAAAATAAACTGTGGTTTCTCTCCCTCCCTCTCTTTTCCTTCTTCCCTCTCTCTCTAAAATCAATAAATAAAAAAGTTTTAATGTAATGATGATTATACTTCTAAACAAAATAAATTAAATATGTGCAAGTATCTATTTTAAAGCTCTAATAAAAGTTTAAAATAAAATAGATTAGCAATAAAAAATACTCACTTCTGTTGCAGATAATCGTTTCTCTCCATTATCACTTCCAATTCCAGAGTCAGGACCAGGATTTTTATTTGGATAAAAATCCTCCATACTATGGAAACAAAAATTCTAAGCACAGTTACAATTTTCTTCTTAAAATAGATAATATACATTTGACCTAAATTTTTGCTATATAATACAGAATATGCACTTTTGATGTCTAAGATCCTTAAGGACAAGAGAGGAAAAATGTTAAATTTTTTTCTACAAAACACTTTATTCATGTCCTTCATGAAATATTTTTCCTCCATGTGCTCTGTTATAAAGTGTCAATTGTTAATAATAGGCTATTATTATTTCTTTTAAGAAATTCAGAAAAGCAGATAGTCTTGCTACAAATAATCTTGATAAAAAAAAACTTTGTTTTTGGTCATTGGTTTGACAAATTCACTATAGAATGATGAAGTTTTTTCAGTTTATTCTTCATTAGCCCTACAAATATGCTATAGCTTTATAAATAATGTCCATTTAGTAATTAAGAAAACAGAAAATGCAAAACAAAGTCTGCAAAGCATTGAATAAATAATTGTTTTGGTGTGAGGTCAGAGCTGTCTTTACAAATTTCTGAATTCCACAGTATGCCAACAAGGTTACAAAGTATTTTTCACTTTACTTTGCAAATTTACCGAACACTCTACACTGACCACTTATCATGTGCCAAAAATTGGACTAAGTGCTTTAAAGATGATACCTTGAATATTCCTTGTGAAAACTCTAGTAGATTGTTGGTGTTTTCTCATTTTACAGATGAGGAAACCGAGGCCAAGAGGGGCTGAACAATTTACCCAATGACAGGCAACTTGCAAATGGCAGTCTAAATTTGATCCCAAGATTATCTAATACTAAACTCCCTAATCTTAATCACTATGCTGTAGTTCCTCCCCAAATAATGATTTTTATACTTTTCTGGAGTATATTAAGAAATGTAGGGAAGCAGTTACCAACTGTTAGGCACTATGTTGAAAGCCTGAGATAAGATGAGATGAATTTAAAAGTGTTTGACCACAAAGGGGTCTCAGACCAGAAGAGAAATAATGTTTATATGTTTTGAAGACTGTGTCAAGGGTAAAGATAAAGTGCTGTAAGTAAAAAGAAATGAACTAATTTTCCTTGCTAAGGTTTAGGAAAGGTCTTACCCAAGAAAATCGCATTTGAGCTTAGTCTTGAAGGATAAAAAGATGCAAAAATTGCTAATATTTGTTAAGTGTTAGGTACTAAGCCAAGTGCACTTCATATTTTACTAATAATCTTTACATTACACAATGTATACATTATCTCTTTTTACAAATGAGGACAATAAAACTTATAAAAGTTAACTGTCCAAGAGAAAAAATTGTAACATTTACCAAATATCATTTACTGAACTAGTTGCCAAGCACACACACATATATATTTTTGTATTACTATTAACATTGTTATTTTTATTATCATTAAATACTTCAGCTTTATGTTGAATTGAGCCCTACATTGTACTTTCGAGTATGGGCTCCAAAACTATTTTTAAAATCTTACTTATTATTTTTATTCTTTTTTTATTTAAATTTTATCTTTCATTTATAGTTTACATTCAATATTATTTTGTATCAGTTTCAGGTATACAACATAGTGGTTATACAATTATATATTTCACCAATTGTTCTCCCATGATATTTCCAGTACCACCCTGGCACCACATAGCTATTACAATATTACTGACTACATTCCCCATGCTGTACTTCACATCCCTGTGACTATTTTGTAACCACCAATTGCCAAGTACACATTTAATTCTCACAACAAGCTTATAAAGTGGGTATTGTTAACATTTTAAATTAAAAAATATCTGAGAGATTACATAACTTAGGCCACAGGGGAATTAAGAGGTTAAACAGTGATTAAGACCTGAAATGCATCCACTCCACTGCAGAAGAATATTATGAACTATAGTAAAATACATTTGTGTGTTTCTAAAAGATGACAATGTTAATAACAAGCTACTTGTTGAGGAATTATTTTGGGTAGGACAATGTGTTAAATATTGCATAGACATTAGTTCATTTAATCCTGACATCATCCATATGATTGTTTACATATAAGAAAACCGAGGAAGAAAAGAAATAAACTGAGGACGAGAGATATTATAACACAAGAACATAGTTTTTAAGACTTGAAGAAGGGCTTTACAGCCACATTATCTCTGAGTCCAAAATCTGGTATACATAACTACTATAATGCTTATTTTTGTAGAATAAAATGTTTACAAGATTGTCAAGGTACTAGAGGGTGTTATAAATAGTAAGAACAATATAGGCAAGGGCATGAGCCTGAAAGTGAAATGAACGTACAAGAATTGTCTAGGTACTTCAATATGGGTTGTGAGCAGGAGATGAGCACTCCCAAGAGTCAACTTGTAAGTAAACTCTATTGACCTGCAGTGTCCAATTCAGCAGCCACTAGGAGTATATATAGCTATTGAGCACTTTTAGTACAGTTAGTCTAAGTTGAGACATGCTGTAAATGTGAATAATATACACACAAGATTTCAAAGAATTAATAGGGAAAAAATAATGTGAATTGACTCACTAATTTTTTATATTTAAATCACATATTAAAATATTTTGGATATACTAAGTTAAATCATGTATATTGGTAAAATTAATTTCAACTGTTGTTTTTTTTTACTTTTTAAAAAATGGGTTACAAAAAATGTAAAATTCCATATGTGGCTCACATTATATTTGAATTGGGTGACACTGCTAGAGACCATCTCCAAAATATATCTCAATTCTGTCCACTTTTTTTCATCCCTACTGCAATCACCCTATTCAAGATTCCTTGATCTCGTGGAAGTACTGCAACAACCTAACAAGTCCCTGTGCTTCTATATTTGTTTACTTCTGATCTATTCTCCCGGTAAGAGTCAAGATCATTTTTTCAACAGAAATTTGATTCATGTTAATTCCCATACTGTCCAGTGAGTTCCCACTGTACTCTAAGTACAATTTAAAGTCCTTATCACAGTCTCCAAAACCCCTGCATGACTTGAGTCCTGACTAACCAAAGTCAACTCGTACACTCTACCCTTTAGCCACTCTGCTCCAACCATGTGCTGGTCTCCATTCAGCCTTTTAACATACCAAGTCTCTTCTTAACTTAAGGCCTTTGCACGTGTCTCTTCCTCTCTCTCTTTACACAGCTACCTTTTCTCCTTTTAGGTGTTACCTTGAAACCTCATCTTACCAAAGATACATTTTTTACCTTTACTCCTGAAACATCTTTCCTTTATAGCAAGGAAATTTAAAATTATTTTTATTGCATTTCCTTGTTTTATTTATTAACTGACTCTTACTGTGGGCTACATGAACGCTGAGACCGATGTGTATGTCATTCAATAAAACATACCCAGAATGCACCAACATGCATGCTACTGTATTTGTAAAATAAATAAAGGACTAATATAAGGAATGCTGTTACTAAAGTAACACCATTTATAAATAAATATAAAGCAGACTAGTAGAGATTATAACAGGAATTAATTCTAATTTTTATAGAATTGTTTGATTTACTATCATTCATAATGTTAAACAAAAGGATCTTTAGGAACTAAATTTAATGTTTGGATATTTAATTCTACTTAAGCAACAGAAAAATTCATTAAAAAGTCCTATTTGGGAATTCCAGAACTTGCACTGGTAACAACAGTACTTACTATACTAACTTTCCAAGTACTCTAAACTTTGTCATAAATACAATGTCAAACCTTTAAACATTTTAGACAGAGTCGTAGGCTACCCTTTTATAGTCTCATCCCATTCCAATTATTTTCCATACTAATGAATGAAATTATATTTTCATAAAACCAGACCAACATACATCTTGAAAAGATGAATTAAAAATGGAATATGAAATCTACCATTTCAAAATCTCATGAGGATAAAAACACCAATATCATACAGAAGAACACCAATGACAAATCATCTTTGATCTAGATATAAAATACATAAAAAATGTGAAGCAATAAAGTACCCCAAAATGTCTTGTTTTTCCACCAAATTCAGATCAAATTCAAATTTTACTTATTATTACAATTGTGCAATAGTGTGACAACAGGAGTGAGTTAATAGGTATCAAGTGGTAAGAAATTAGTATTTCTGCACTATAATATCAAAAGTTTATATTTTACTATTAAAGATTTAATAATAATGAATTTTTAAGAAAATTCCAAATTGATTCTAGTATCTCAGAAGTTCATTCTATGATGGTGATATTTTACTTCAGCCAATTACTGAATTTTATACTGAGCCAATCAGCTTAAACATATTCAGTACACTCAAGATTAATAAATACTTTTTTACATACAGAGAAGATACCAATAATGAAACAAGACTGTAAGAATATTACATTACCTGTCTGTGAGAGGCTGGGAGGGCATTCTTTTACTCAGTGATGGAAGATCCAGAGAATCTGGTTTTTTATCCATTCTGCAACATGCTTGGATATTTAAGTATTTAAATATGTGTACTTTACCCTTTAAACATATCTGTCAATAAATAATAGAGAAAGGTTTAATTATAAAAGTCCAAATATAAATATTATCTGCCAATTTATTTATACTTTTAATCTCAAATTAATCTAAGCCATTATAATCATGATAGATACTTTGCATATTTAATTAACTTGTACTTCTGACATGAAGTGAAAATATCTGACAATACTGACACTAACCAAAATTCTATTTCTCTTTTCTTATTAGAAAAATTAAGCTAATTTTTCTGTATTTCACTAAAGTTTTCTTATTAACAGTACAATGTACAACCACTAAACAATATAAAATTAACAATTCATGAAAGTTGCCTTTATCAGAAAAAAAGCAAAAACAAATATATTTATTGTACTGGTGAAAACAGAAAATTAAATGAACCATGTAATTCCTTAGAGTTATCTCATCAGAACCACTAGGTTGGTTGGTCTAAACACTGGTAGAAAACTAATAAAAAATTTAAATATACAAAAAATTAATTTGTTTTAAGGTGTGATGGTTGACTAATTATAATAAAATAATTTTAAATGGTCAATTCAGCTAAGGTAACACCCTAAAAAGTTATTTTCCTTTTTTAAATTTTAATGGATGTCCAAGAATAGTTTTCTGCCTTTTACCCCCATCCCAGCCCACCCATCCTAACCCTAACCCTAACCCTAACCCTAACCCTAACCCTAACCCTAAAAAGTTATTTTCATTGGTGATACAGAGAATAGGAATAATTAAGGGTAAAATAGTATGTGAAAAAAAGTAGACTGTATAAAAAAAGAGAGATAATGAGTGGTAAGGAAGTGAAAAGTCAGATTTACAAAGGTTAACTGCAATCACCATAAGTTATATTAAACAAGTATCTTGCAAAAATTATAATAAAAATATTGTTTTATGAGCTCATATAACCTACCAACACATGGAAAAATAATCTACAAAGAAAACAGTAAGAAACATACATTCAGAAGTAATTATCATACCAGGTATAAAGCAGAAACATTTCTTAGATAATTCTAACTGATACTAGATCTAACTTGACCACTGAAAAATTTCATTTAAAAAAATTAAAACATTTGAGCTATTAGACTATAAGTACATTATCAATTAAAATGTATCTTATGTCTCAAACTACAAATGTAAATTTCTTTCATCACCAAATTAAATGCTGATGAATTATTTTTGTAAATCAATTTTTAATCATAGTAATTCACATATGTAGTTTTAAAAGTCATAGAGACTTATAAAATTGATAACAAAAATTTAATTTTCCATTCTATCCCTTTCAATGTCCAAGACCCAGTTCCTCATTCGACTCTTCTATTTGGTTTCCTGCTATTTTCCTGCATATTTATAAAGAGCATGGTTTTACTGGGATTTTTTTTTTATTTTTTCAAGTGTAGACCCCTATTTCCTTCCCAAGGAAAAAGAGGATTTAGACTTCTAATATTATCACTACTACAACTTTCACATATCATTAATACAACTACCATCCTCCCATCTCCAACCACCATGAAGTCACGTAAACATACTTCCTCTATCTTTAGAAGCATAGCACAGGTTAGAGCATAAACTATGGATTTAGACAGCCTTGATTTGAATCTGGGTTTCACCACTTGCTAGCCAAGTGAACTTAAACCAGTCATTTAATTTCTTCTTTTTGGTTAGTTTTAATAATTTATTTTAAGTATAATTTATTGACTATGCTATTAGTTTCCCCAATTTTCCACCTTCATTTCCCCTCCACCTTGAACCTCCTTATCCTCCAGCATTCCCCACCCTTAGTTCATGTCCATGGGTTGTACATGTAAGTTCTTTGAATCCTTTGTATCCTATACCATTTTTCTTTCCCTGTCTATTTTATGCCTACCAATTATGCTTTATTGCCTGTACCTTTTCCCCCCATTACTCCCTTCCCCCTCCCCACTGAACTCCCTCTGTGTGATATCCATTTCTCTGATTGTTCCTGTTCTAGTTGTTTGCTTTGTTTCTGTTTCCATTATTTTTCTTTTTCATTTTTTTAGGTTCATTTGTTGACGGTTAGGAATTTACTGTCATTTTACTGTTTCTATTTTTTATCTTCTTTTTCTTAGATAAGTCCCTTTACCATTACATATAATAAAGGCTTGGGGATGATGAACTCCTTTAAATTGACCTTATCTTGGAAGAATTTTATCTGCCCTTTCATTCTTAACGAAAGCTTTGCTGGATAGAGCAATCTTGGTTGTAGGTCTTCGGATTTCACAACTTGGAATACTTCTTTCCAGCCCTTTCTTGCCTGTAAGGTCTCTTGAGAAATCAGCTGACAGTCTTATGGGCACTCCTTTGTAGGTAACTGTCTCCTTTTCCCTTGCTGCTTTTAAGATTGTCTCCTTGGGTAACATAATGATGATGTGCCTTGGTGTGTCGCCCTTTGGGTCCAATTTCTTTGGGGCTCTCTGGATTTCCTCAAAATCTATTTCCTTTGCCAGATTGTGGAAGTTTTCCTCCATTATTTGTTCAAATAAGTTTTCGATTTCTTGCTGTTGTTCTTCTTCTTCTGGCACCCCTATAATTCAGATACTGGGACATTTAAAGTTGTCCCAGAGGTTCCTAAGCCTCTCTTCATGTTTTTGAATTCTTGTTTCTTCTTTCTGTTTCGGTTGGGTGTTTCTTTCTTTCTTTTGTTCTAAATTGTTGATTTGAGTACTGGTTTCCTTCCAGTCACTGTTGGTTCCCTGAATATTTTGCTTTATTTCACGTTGGGTATCTTTCATTTGTTCTTTCATTTTTCAACCAAGCTCAATTAGTTCTATGAGCACTTTGATTAACAGGGCTTTAAATTCTCCATCAGATAGGTCAGTTATCTCCTTATCACTTAGCTCTCTTTCTGAGATTTTGCTCTGTTCTTCCATTTTGGCTCTATTTCTTTGTTTGGGGCCCCTGTTAAGTTGTAATGGTGTGGGGTCTTAGGTATTCACCCAGGCAGGGCAAACCTGCATGCTGTGCTACAATGCTGCCTGTGGGGGATGGGCCAGAGGGGGAACAATGCAGTTCGCCTGCTCATCTCTAGCACTTTTCAACAAACTCCCCTGTGAGACTGGGTGTTTCTCCCACCATGGCAACCTCTATAATTCACAGCCACCTCTGAGTCTGTTTATTTAAGTCAGCCCCTCTGGTGCACCCTGCCTTCTCACCACAGCCAGACTCACCCCCATGGTTCAATGCCTCACCAGGGTTCCTCTCCATGCACTGCCATACAGGACTAATTGTTCTGTTTGACTGTTTCCTTAATTCTGTGGTTGTTGGAGTTCCATGCTGGTTGATTTTCTTCTACTTCTGGTTGTTTGTTCATTTCAGATTAGTTGTTATCCTCCTTTTGGTTGTGCAAGGAAGTGAAGGGTTTCTACCTATGCCTCCATCTTGGGTAGAACTCAGGCCAGTCACTTAACTTCTATGTCCTTGTTTCCTCATATATAAAAATAGGTATAATGACAGTACTTGTTTTATAGAGTTGCCATAGGAAATGAATTAATGCACATAGAGCATTTTCAACAGTGTGTGGACCACAATAAGTGCTATTTAAATTATCTTTACTGTTATTTACTATTACTATTACTATTCACTATTACTTCAGCATAATTTTTCTTTAAATCAAAATCTAATATTTATATTATTAGGGCTAAGAAAATGTCACAGATGGACCTCCTAAGTTACATTTCCTTTTTACTATAAGTATTTCCTTTTTTTAATTCAACATTATATTTATTGTAATTTTTCCTAAATTTACTACACAAACCATGTGATCATTTTTTTGTTTCCTTTTTTGAAAATTCTATTTAATTATTTTTCAAGTACAGTTTTTTTGTCTATTTCTCCCATACCAGCCTCCCCCGCCGCTTGCTCCTCACCACCCTCCATTTTCCGCCCCCATTAGTTCTCGTCCCTGTGTCCTTCCTACCTATTCCTCCAAATCCCTAACCATTTTTCCTCTTAATTTCCCTTCCTTATCCCCTCTGGTCACGGTCCCCTTGTTCTCTATTTCAATGTCCTTTTTTTCTGCTTGATTGTTTGTTTTGTTGTTTAGCTTCCTGTTAAAGGTGAGATCATATGGTATTTGTCTTTCAGCACCTGGCCTATTTCACTCAGCATAATGCTTTCCAGTTCCATCCATGTTGTTGCAAAAGATAGTAGCTCCTTCTTTCTCTCTGCTGCATAGAATTCCATTGTGTATATGTACCACAATTTTTGGATCCATTCATTTACTGATGGGCACCTAGGTTGCTTCCAACTCTTGGCTATTGTAAATTGTGCTGCTATGAACATTGTGGTGCATAGGTTCTTTGATATTGATGTTTTAGGATTTTTAGGATATAATCCCAGCAATGGAATTGCTGGGTCAAAAGGCAGGTCGATTTTTATTTTTCTGAGAAAATTCCATACAGTTTTCCATAATGGTTGTACCAGTCTGAAATGCCACCAACAGTGGACTAAGGACCCTTTTTCCCCACAACCTCTGCAACATTTGTTGTTTGTTGCTTTGTTTATGATAGCCATCCTGACTGGTGTAAAGTGGTATCTCATTGTGGTTTTAATTTGCATCTCTCTGATAGCTAACAATATTGAGCATCTCTTCATGTATCTCTGGATGTTCTATATGTCTACCTTGGAGAAGTGTCTGTTCAAATCCTTTTCCCATTTTATAATTGGGTTGGGTGTCTTCTTAGAGTGGAGTCGTATAAGTTCTGTGTATATTTTGGAGATTAAACCTTTGTCTGAGGTATCATTGGCAAGTATGTTTTCCCATACAGTTGGATGTCTTGCTAATTTAATACTGTTTTCTTTAAACATGAAGAAGCTTTTTATTTTGATGAGATCCCATGTTTTTAAATTTATTTTTATTTTTTAATTAATTTTATTTAGTTATTTTTCAAGTATAGTTTTTTGTCTATTTTCCCATCCCAAATTCCCCCACCCCTTGCTCCCCACCTCCCTCCCATTTCCAACCCCCTTAGTTCTCATCCCTGTGTCCTTCC